GGGGGTGGGGGGGGTGTGGGGGTGTGGGGGGGGGGGGTACTGCTGGTGCCAGCCTGGTGCCACGTGGTGGCAGTGCCAGGGCCATTGGTGCCAGCCGGGTGGCAGTGCCTGGTGGCAGCACCCCATGCCTGGTGGCCTCTAACCCCCACCCTGCCCAGGCCCTCTTCGTCTTCATGGCACTCTCCTTCTGCCGGGATGAGGTGAGCTGGCTGGCGCGGCACGCCGAGCACGTCACCAAGACCAAGACACCTGAGGACTTTTCTGACAGGTAGGCACCATGTGCAGGCATCTGCACCGGGCAGGGGGGGATCCGTGCCCATGGGGGGGCATCCCCAGCCGTGGGCAGGCTGGTTTTGTGGTGGGGTTTGCCCTGGTGCTCTGGTCACGGCTGCCACAGGGGCGCTTTGGTGGGCTCAGGCTCTGACCGGTGGCTCTGGTGGCAGCCACGTTGCGGAGCTCCTCTTCCTCATGGAGCAGCTGCGGAGCCTGGTGCGGCGGCAGGTCAGGGTGCTGCAGCGCTACCACGTCCAGTACCTGGCCCGCTTCGATGCCCTGGTGCTCAGCGAAGTCATCCAGGTACCGTGGGGCACCGGCTGCGGCTGATCTCTGTCCCCCGTTGGGGCTCTCTGTGTCCCCTGTGCTGTCCCTCACCCAGTCCGTGTCCCCGCAGAACCTCTCCGTGTGCCCTGAGGAGGAGTCCATTATCCTGTCGTCCTTCGTCAGCTCCCTCTCAGCTCTCTCTATCAAGGAAGGTATGGTCAGTGTCCCCCCCACCATGTCCCTGGCACTGCCTGGGGACCGATGTCCCCCCCTGTCCTGGGAGCCCTGCATCAGTCCTGGACCGGGCTTGTGGGACAACGGGGAGATGGCAGGTCCTGGGGATCCTGTGGGGTGGGTACTGCCACCTCAGACTGGCACCCCCAGGCCCAGTACCTCCAGATTAGCACCCCCAGACTGATGCTCCCCCCTCCCCACGGCCACATCTCCCCACGTTTCTATTTCCCCACAGTTGATGACAAGGAGCAGTTTGATTTCACACCGCTCCGCCTGGACTGGTTCCGGCTGCAGGTGCTGTCCCTGTCCTTGTCCTTGTCCCTCTCCCTGTCCTTGTCTTTGTTCCTGTCCTTGTCCCTGTCTCTGTCCCAATCTCCACCCTTGTTCCCGTCCCTGTGCCAATTCCCGCTTCCTCTCTCCCCATCCCTGTCCCCATCCTTGTCCCCATCCCCTTCCCTATTACTGTCCCCATCCCTGTCCTCGTCCTCTTCCCCCGCCCTGCCCTGCCGTGCCCCTGAGCCCGCTGTCCCCCCAGGCCTACACCAGCGTGGCCAAGGCCTCGCTGCCTCTGGGCTCCAACCCCGACGTGGGTCGCGTCATGAACCTCATCGTCTTCCACACCAAACTGCTCGACTCCCTGGAGGAGCTGCTGGCAGAGGCCTCCGACCTCTCCGACCTGTGGTGAGCGCTGCCACCCGCTCTGCCTCAGTTTCCCCACAGTCACAGGGAGGGTGTGGGGGGTGTCACCTTGGCTGGGGTCTTCCAACCACAACCCCAGCACGTCTGGAAAGGTGCCCACGTGTGCTGGGTGACGGGTGTGGGAAGGGACGGAGGTGGCTGTGGGGGACATGTCACCTATGGGGGAGGTTGGGCAAGGCTGGGTGACATACAGACGGATGTGGGGACAGGGACAAAACACATGTGGCACAGGAGCAGCATGTCCAGAAAGACAAATCCCCTCTCCTGCCCTCCCTTGTCCCTCTCTCCTGCCCTCCCTGCCCCCTTCTTCTGCCCCTCTGCCCCCACCCCTGCAGTTTCTACCCTCGCCCCGTGGAGAGGATGTTTGTGGCGACAATGGAGGAGCCCTCGATGCTGCGCTACAGCATCGCCTTCCCTCTGCTCTGCAGCCCCTTCTCCCGCTGCGTCCACCCCATGTGTCCAGAGGAGGTGAGTCCTGCTGCCTGGGGGGACACGGGGGACACGGGGACATCGTGGCTGGGTGCTGCCCGGCCAGGAATGGGGGGGCTGGGGTGGGCATATGTGGGTGGGGGACAATGGCAGCCCCATGGCCTCGAGGCAGCTGATGGCATGCCACAGACGTGGCTGTGACCTGCATGGGACGTGCTGTGACAGTGCCATGGCTTTTGCCCCCGCAGTATCCCCACCTGAAGGCCATAACGCTGGGGCTGTGCAACAAATTCCTGGAGGAGATAGCCCGGCAGGCCAGCATCTGCGTCATGGACGCCTGTGCCGAGCAGCACAACCTCAGTGAGCAGGTGAGGGTCGTGCCTCCAAGGAGGGCCTCCAAGGTCTCTGTGGCCTTTGGGGTCCCCATCACCTTCAGGATCTCTGTGGCCTTTGGCGTCTCTCTGGTCTCCAGGACCTCTGCGGTCTTTGGGGTCTCCATGACCTCTGTGGCCTCCAGGGTCTTTGTGGTCTCTGTGGTCTCCATGGCCTTTGTGGTTTCCAGGATCTCCATGGCCTTTGGGGTATCCATGGCCTCTGGAGTCTCTTGTAGTGTCTTTGTCCCCTGGGACCTCCACAGCCTCCAGGGTCTCCAGGACCTCTGTGGCCTCCATGTTCTCCAAAGCCTTGGGACAGCAGAGGCCATGAGAGGGAGGACCTGGCAGGGCATGTCCCCAGTTCAACCTTGGGGATGGTGGCCCCTGGTCCTGGGGGCCCCGGTTGGGCTGTCCTTGGTGCATGTGGCCCATGGTAACCCCCTGCCCGTGGCTGGCAGCTTCTGCCCAAGCACTGCGCCTCCACCGTCAGCAAAGCCCGCAAAAAGAAGGCCCTGAAGCAGCCGGCCAAGAAAGGGGAACCCGAGCGGGACAAGCCGGGGGCTGAGAGCCAAAGGAAGGACCGGACCCTGACCACCAAGTGAGACCCCTCCCCCGGGGCTGGCGAGCGTGGGCAGGGGGCTGGCAGGGAGCAGTGGCCCCCAGCCATGGGGTGTGGGCATGGTGTGACACAGGGGGCATGGCGTGACCGTGGGGTTGTCCCCATGGGGCTGCGGTGTGGCTAATGGCACCTGTCCCCCCCACCCCAGCATGGACAAGCTACACCTGACACTGGCCGAGCTGTCCCTGAGCCTCAACCATGTGCCCAACTTTACCGTCTTCGAGCACACGGTGACGCCGGCCGAGTACCTCAGCAGCCACCTGGAGACACGCTTCACCAAGTAGGGACCTCAGAGGGGACATGGTGGGGCCAGGGTGGGCTGTGGGTGCTGCTGGGGAGGGAACACTTGGCCATGGCTCCCCAGCCAGCCCCTTCCTGTCCCTGCAGAGCCATCGTGGCCATGGCGGGCGACACCCAAACCCCGCCGGAGGGGGGGCC